TAGGCTTCCAGGCCCTGACAATTCATTCATTTCCGGGTCGCGACTGTCTCTTGTCCTCCCCCCCGCCCGGAAATGGCTTTGGGTGGGGTGGGGTCCCTCGAGACCCCCGCTCCGGGCTGTTCCTCGACGCGGTTCCTCGGGTTCCGGGCGTCTGAGGGGCGGGTCTGGGCGGCACGGCTGCCAGGGGGCTTGTCACAGTGTCTTGCAGGGCTTTGTCACCAAAGGAAGTGCGACATCGCGCCAGACCCGTTCCCCAGGTCCCCACCCCTCTCTGTCTCGAGCCCACACTTGTCCTTAAAGAGGGAACAGCTTCGTCTCCCTGTTTGCAACATAAGGGTGCTCACCCCTTAGAATGGGGCATCGTCAGAGCTAGCACAGGGGCCGCCCACAGATGCGCTGGGGGACATCCTCCTCCCGATGCCCCCCAGTCTTCAAGAGAGGTGATCCCTGTGACCTGATGGGAGCTCCTAGTGCTCTCGAGGGCTGAGGTCCCCGTGGTTCTTTGGGCTTGGGGTGGAGGCCACACCTCAGGGATGGGCAGGAGTGATTTTAGACCCCAGATCCCAGCCCACACCCTGGAGAACAGGCGATGATGAATCACAAGGAAGAGTCCTGGAAGGGGGGAACACGACAGTGGGGCCCCCGCTTCTCCTCTGCAGCCTCTTTCCCCACACCAAGAGTCTTCCCATGCCAGCCACCCCACTCCTGAACCCTCGACCTGCCAGAGACCTGTTCCAGCCTCCTCCCTACACTTCCCAGCCCTTGGCCATCTTTAATTCACCTAGAATCAGGGGTTTTCAAAGACATTTTGTACACTTTCTAGCTAACAGAGCATCACTGGGGCTCCTGTGGTGAGTCTGTTCCAAGCTTCAGGGGACAATGCCCTCCTTTGTGACCTCGTCCCCACCTGCTCAGCCCTTCCCTCAGCAAACCATACTGGCCTTGTTTTCACTTCTCTGGCTCCCAAGTTCCTGCTGTCCCAGGACTTTTGCACCAGCTTCGCCTCCACCATAGCTTTTGGCCTCCTGGAGCACAGCTTCCCTTGACCCGGAAGGCCCATGAGGGAGATGGCCCCTGTGCCTTGCAGCAGTGTTTGCCAGCCTACCTGAGGAGGTCCTGTCTTTTAGAAGTGCAGACAGGTACATGATCCTGCCCTGCCCTGAGGGACCTCTGTCCCCAGTTTTTGCCCTGACTGTCTTGGCTGCCACCCTGAGCTATGCTTGGAGGTGGCAGTGCACTGCACAGGGGATGCAACCTAGCTAAGAAGTCTCACCCAAGTCACTTAGCCAGCAGCAGCACTGGATTTGGTCTGGGGGTCCTGGGGGTCATCTCCAGACTCTGCCAAGACCCAGCTTGTGGCTTAGGGAGGTATGAGACAGCTAAGGCAAGTGGTTTGAGGTAGTGGGAAAGCTGTAGGGTATGTCTCAGATGGAGAAAGTGGTGGCCAGGAAAGATCAGCCTGGCCAGTGCTGGTGCGGAGTAGTTGAGATTGCTGATTTGTTGTTTTTAGACAGGGTGTCCCTCCAGAGCCAAAGCTAGCTCCCATCTCCAAACCATCTTGGGCTGACAGCTATGGGTACATAAGCGGCAGGCTCCCTTCTGCATGCTGCCCCACGAATGCTCCCCTGAGCCCAGACTAGCCTGGCCTCTGCCTCCAAGCCACACACAGCACCCTGTGGGCTCATGGCCCCAGATACCTCTGTTCTTCTCTGGAGCCACACACACACACACACACCAACTGTGTAGTGGTGATCTGGCCAAGGAGCCCTGAGAGTGTACAGGGGGAGCACTGGAGTCTACACCCTGGGTTGCTCAGGAGCAACTCTTGGGACATTGAGTGGCCCCAGAGCAGGATGTCACAGGCAGAGAGTAGGGACTCTGAGGCTGCCTGGCCACATTCCAGGCCAGCAGAGTGGGTGTAGCCACTGATACAGGCACCTCTGCTTCTCTGGGAGGTGGCCCAGAGGCCCAGGGGGCCCTAGGAATGTCACAGGAAAGCAGTAACATGAGCCTGTGGCCATCTATACAGGGGCACACAGTGACATCTCGCGGGGATCACACCAGGAGCCACAAACTTGTGCATTTTCATCTACTACCCTTCTTCAGACCCCAGTGACATTTGGAGAATGAACAAACATTCTGGCTGCCTCCTTGAGTTAGACAGACTGAAGACACAGTTACCTGCCCCAGGGTATGTGTTGTAGGGCAGGTTCCCAGGCCAGGAAGCCCTCAAACTGACAGGCCCTCCAGCCTCTGCCCCACCCCCACCTGAGTGCTGGGACACTGGACACGCACCACGAAGCCCATCTTTGAAATATTCTCTCATTATTGCTTTTTTTTTTTTTTTCCCCCGAGACAGGGTTTCTCTGTAGCTTTGGAGCTTATCCTGGCACTGGCTCTGGAGACCAGGCTGGCCTCGAACTCACAGAGGTCCACCTGCCTCTGCCTCTGGGTGCTGGGATTAAAGGTGTGGGCCACCAACGCCCAGCTTATTGTTGCTGCTTTTGTTTTTTGTTTTTCTTTTTCCGTTTGATTTTTTTGAGACAGGGTTTGTCTTTGTCGCCCTGGCTGTCCCAGAACTCACTCTGTAGGCCAGGTTGGCCTTGAACTCACATAGATCTGCTTGCCTCTGCTTCTGAGTGCTGGGATTAAGGTGGGCACCACCACCACTCACCTTCATTATTGTTTTGGTCATTGTTTTGAGATAAGGTCCCACTCTGTATCCCAGGCATCCCACTGCTTTAGCCTCATGGATGTTGAGGTGGCAGCCATGCACTGCTGTGCCCAGTGGATATGCACCTTTAGACAACTCTGGGCTGGAGATGGCTGAGCAGGTCAAAGTGTCTGCAGCCAAGCCTGATGGTGGGGCCCACTTGGTGGAAGGAGGATCTCACACACAGTGGCATGCATTACCCTCTACCACACAGACATGCACAGCACAATGAATAAATGTAGAAAAATAATTTAATAAATGGGCAGCCTCAGGTCATGTGAGACCCCTAGGAGAGCCCCTTGTCTCTCTGTGGTGCCGGAACACTGGGCAGGTAACAGCCCAGGTGTGCTCTCAGGTTCCATCAGAGGCCTCATGTCCACCCCTGTCTCCAGGCAGACTTTCTGAAAGGCTTGCCCGTCTACAACAAGAGCAACTTCAGCAGGTTCCACTCGGACTCCGTGTGCAAGGCCTCGGTGAGTGTGGGGCTGGGGGTGGTGTCACTGTCCTGAGGGTGAGGGTTGCCAGCTAACCCACCGCTCCCCGTTCGCAGAACCGCCGTCCCTCAGTGTACCTGCCGACCCGAGAGTACCCGTCAGAACAGAGTGAGTACTGCAGCCCTCCGGCCTCCGTGGCAGCTAGGAAGGGGCTATGGAGGGCAAGGTTGATCCTAGAACGGGCTCTCCCTGGTGTCTGGAGGGACCTGGGTGGCCCAGGCTGGCCTGCCCTCCCTGCAGGCCAGGTTGGGCGGCTCCTGCTGTCTGCATAGGAAGACTGTAAGCCAGGGCTGAGCTGGGAGGTAGAGCCCTGGGCTCCATCGTGAAGCGGGTGAGCTGAACACACCTATCCCAGCACTCTGGATGCTAAGGCAGGGGGAGCAGAAGGTTAAACCTGACTTTATATCCTTCGACCCATGTGAAAGCCAGGCACCTCTGCAGGGCTCTGGAGTCCACCCCTACTGGGCAATCTAGGACCAGCCACCCTGGCACCAAAAAACAAAACAAAAACATGAGAACTATCAAAGTGAAGGTGAGGGCCACAGCCAAGGTTCATCTCTGGCTGAGGCAGGTGTGTACACACATGACCACAAAGACCACAGGCCAAGTACTGTGGCTGTGGAAATGGTGAGGGCAGTGACCGTACTGGGCCTGTGGGCAGTAGTGTCTAGGCCATGGGCTGTGGCATAGGAGCCCAAGGGCCTGGTTCTTTATCTGTCAAGAAAAAATCTGGAAGTCAGATGTGGTGGTGCATACCTCTAATCCAGGTACTCAAGAGGCAGAAGCAGGTGGATTTATAGGAGTTTACAGCCAGCCTGCTCTACAGAGTGAGCAGAGTTACATAGGGACTTAACCCTATTTTAAACAATAAACTGAAACTCTGAGGTCTGTGAGATGGCTCAGTGGGTACAGGTGCTGGCCACCAGGCTTCAGAACCTGATTCAGTCCCCAGAATCCACATGGTAGGAGGGAGAGAACCAACTCCCACAGTTGTCTCTGACCAGTGTGTGCACCCACCTAGTACAAGATAAAAACCATGCAAGGGGCTGAGCAGACTTTAAGGTTTAGCACATACTACTGCTGCTGCAGGGGACTGGAACCCAAGCCCCAGCACCACTCACCAGAGGGATGCAATGCCCTTTTGTGGCTTCCTCAGACATATGCACACACCTCCCCCCCCCCACACACACACACACAAATTTAAAATAATAAAAGTAAATCCTTAAAAACAAAATGAATCTGTCCTGGAAAGAAGCAAGACTCCTGAGTAATGCATTTCCTGGTGTGGGCATGCACACCTCACTGCAGCCTCTGGTGTCTCAGTGTGGCATTGTCTCAGATGAGCCCTCCGAGAGCACAGGAGACAGCAGGACTCCACAACAGTGTGCTGGCCTGTGTCCCAAAACAGGCCCCCCAGGGTGGACCCCCGGGGCAGCAGTGCCTGAGGCTGTGACTGGGAGCTGTGTGCTTGGAAGGGAAGCAGCCGTCTTAGTACTCAGGATAGGAGTGCTGAGTTGAAACCCAGGAAAAACAAGGCAGGCCTGGAGGCCGAGGTAGAGGTCATAGCACCCCCATCTCTCTCACTGTCTCTCTTATCTTCTCAGTCATTGTGACAGAAAAGACAAACATCCTCCTGCGGTACCTGCACCAGCAATGGGACAAAAAGGCAAGACTCTTGGCTGGGGCTAGGGACATTTGAGTGGGGTCTTGAAGGTTGAATAGGAGTTCTTCGGTTGACCACTACTGGGGAGAAGTATTTCAGTGGGGGTGCTCTTGGGGTCCTAGTGGTTGAGAGACTGGGGTGAACCTGGGGCGTTCCTCACGGCACAGCTAGCGCCCAGTCATTGAGCCAAGGCTCTTGGTTTTGGCATTTGACTAGAAGGGTGAAATGTCTGTATAACAAAACAATCACCTCACAGGGTACATGCCTGTCACCCCAGTTTCAGGAAGCTGAGAGAGTGTTTGGGACCAGGAATTTGTTTGATGAGCCCAGGGTGGCCTCATACTTAGAGTGACCCTCCTCAGTGATAGGCCGCAGACCTGTGCTGCCTCACAGTTCAGATACTGTGTGAAAAGCACAGCCACCAGCCTGGGTGTCCCCAGGTGGCAGGTGGCTCCTGTGGGCCTTTAAGAAAGGTTCATGGGTTGGGCGTGATGAGGAGGCAAAGACGCAGTTTGAGGCAAGCCAGAGCTGGTAGAGAGACCCTGTCTCCAAAAAAAAAAAAAAAAAAAAAAAAAAGACGAGGGAGAAAGGACCATGCTATTCGCTGTCCGTGCTGTCCTCACCCCAGCCTCTTCCCCTCCCCCCTCCAGAATGCCGCCAAGAAGAGAGACCAAGAGCAGGTGGAGGCAGAGGGTGAGAGCTCAGCGCCACCCCGCAAGGTGGCCCGGACTGACAGCCCTGACATGCCCGAGGACACCTAGGCCCCGCGCACGCGGTGCCCGCGTCTGTCTGCTCTGTCCGCTCCCACCCGGCTCGCGTGTGTAAGCGCAGCCCACCTCCTACACCCAGCCCGCCCTCCAACCTCATAGGACCCATGTATTTATTTTCCTTGAGTTTTTATTTATGCTGTAACTCGTGTCAAGCATTGGTTAAAGGGACATCAGGCCCAGCCGTGAGGTGTTGGTAGACGCTTTTTTAAAGCGCAGTGGTGTCCCCCACCCGGCCACCCGCCAGCAAGACGACACCAGGGTCCAGAGCCCAGGGCAGCCTGGTCTCCCAACACACCGAGCGGCCTTTTCGCTCTTCCCACCCACAGGCCGGCTGGATCTCAGTGCCCCGGTCTTCCGGGGTCACACCTGTGCCCAGGCCTCACTCTGAGCCCACGCCAGGGCAGGAGAGAGCCGGCCCTTCTGGATCTTTCTCTTAAGTCATTTTATCATGGACTAGCCCGTGCTCCGCATCCACCCCAATAAAAGGATCTTTCCTACTCCTACTCCACCTGGCGTCTTTGGTCCACACACCTTGGCTGGAGCCATTAGTACCAGGGTGGCTGGCGTGGAACTGCCACACCTCCCTGCCCAGGGGTCCTTGGGGTCCTGTCCCACTAGGACACAAAGCCCGGGACAGTGCCACAGGGCTGACAGCCACCCATCGCTGGGCCTCATGCCAGGCACCCACTGGCCAGGCTGGTTGCAGTGTCCTTACGCCAGGCAACACTGCCCTGGAGTAGGGGGAAGCGCCCTGAACTTGAGTGGCTGTGCACCCTCAGCCGTGGCATGCATGCCACGCTGCAGGTATGGGGTTCTGGGGTCCCTGTAGGCGCACGAAGGCTGCAGGCTGCACCCTGCTGTGGTCAACTCCTAAAGGCACCATGTTCCCCAGGAGCTGCCACTTGACTGTGACCCTACCAATCCTGGCCTGTTCTGACCCCAGTCCCACCTCAGCCTCACAGTGACGGGCACCATAGCCATGCCCTGCTAACCCATGTGTGCCCCGGCTTGAGCACCCTGCAGCACCCTTTCTCCTCCTGTGCCCTGCCTCGGGTGGCGTCCGCTTTCGTACATGCCCTGGAGTAATTCTTGACTGCCTTCCCACCACTGCCTTTGGCTGTGCCACCGCTGTGCAGCCTCGGGAGCGCCACCTAGGGCTCCCAGGTCCCTGCGGGCTGGCCAGGGTGACCTCTGGCCCAGGGCACAGCGGACTACTCTTGGTGCCGACCCTGTGTCCCACCTGAACCCTAGGCCTCCTAGAGGCCTCGTCCTGAGAGAGCCGGGGTGCTGGCTCAGCTTCCAGCTAGCTACGGGTTCCCCGAGGTCCCTCCACCGCTATGACCTCCAGCACTGTTGAAATAGACTTTTTATTGCATTTCTGCCGTTTTACAAAAATATGACAAAATAAATTAAAAAGAAATAAATAACCGCCCGTCCGTGCTGTGTATTTTTCTGCTCGTGGCCCCCATCCAGGTCAAGAGAGAGG